AATTAATAAATAAATATATATATATATATATATAGTAATTTATAACTTTCTTGTTCAGTATAGTTCATCATCTAACTAAATTAATATCATAATTGTTATAATGTTTGAAGCGTGATTAGTAAACATCTAACTAAATTGGTATTATTATTGTTAAGAAAAATTACATAATATTTAAAGTATGGTTAAATAAAAGTTTATGGGTACTGACTACTTCGCAGTATAATGAACTTTTTTTTTTAGTGCAATTAAATATCTAACTAAATTAGTATTGTGTGATTGTTGAGAATTATATAATTGAAGTATGAATATAAAGGTCTATAAATACTGATCACTCAAGTTAGAACTAAATTAGTATTGTGATTGTTAAGAATTATATAATGAAAATATAAATGGTAAAGGTTTATAAGCACTGACCACTCAAATTAATTTATAACTAAATTAGTATTACAATTGTTAAAACCCATTGCATGAATTAGTATACATATTGATACAAGACTAATATGATAGTGGATGTAACGTAGTGAGTTCCAGAAGGTATGCTCTTTCATAATAAACAAATATTTATTTTAATAAAGAAATATATCATTTTCATATTTATTTTTTTTATTGAATCTACTCATCATTAGCTCAATCCATATAGTTGTTGGAAATACTATGCGTATTTGTTATGCAAACCAACAATCGTAATTTAATTTTCTCTAGATCGATCAAGTGCATGTGAATCTTGATCATATATGCATAAAAATTATACTTTTTTTAACTAGTTGATTTTTCATCAAATTTGAAAGTTAAATATCATATATAGTAAATAATAAATGTATTGTTAGTTCAAAATTTTTATGAGAAAAAAAAATCTAATTTCATGAACTTAACCTGAAAACAAAAAATAATTTCAATTTAGCACCATAAATACTTGTACATGTAATAGTTTGTAATTTCACATACAATATCTAATACTAAATAAATTGAAATAATAAATTAATAAAGCCTTCTTATATGAATAACCAGATTAAAGATATTCTAATAATTCCTTATACATTTACACAGTTTTGATTTCACATTTTCTCATGCTTTTGCAACCAAATTAATGTAATTGATTTTGCAATAATTTTAGCTCCATCATTTACCATTATTGTTATAAATAATCTTTGCATGATAATTCTCATACTTTTATAATTATTTGTACAAATAGCGTAAGTATTAATTAGATATATGTGTTAGATTGAAAAAGCAAGTTCTTGTAAATTACTGTATTTGAGATTTAATAGCTTGTACAAATGTATAAAAACCATGTTCTTAAAATTAGGCTTAATACAATGAACATCAAGTTGGCAGTTATTATGAAAGAAGCAAATACACAAGATAATGAATTCTTTAGCCCCCAATCTTTGAAAATTTCAGATTCTTCTATTTTGACAAAACAGAAAAACAAGGCAGAGAAAAGCAAGAGAGGTAGACCAAAAATGCCAATTTGGGATGATTATAGTGAAGATGAAGATAATGGTCATGAATATTATGAAGCCAATTGTCATTATTGTGATAAGGAAAGGTGATGATGTGGCAAGCTTTTGGTTATGAAAGCTCATTTGGTACTTTATTGCAAGGGATCTGTACTAGATGATATTAGAAAAAAATAGTTAATTGAAGTTGCTAAAAGAGATGAAAAAGTAAAGAATGATAAAGATGATGATATTCCAATTAGAAAAAAGTCAAAACTGTCAATTAATTAATTATATCATATTATAGACCTGTTAACATATTATCTTCTCAACAATCTGCAGATATTACAAAAGCATTGCTTAAAGTTTTTGTATGCTGTGGAATTCCTTTTGCAATTATTAACAATCCTTATTTTCATGATCTTTTAAATCTTTTGCAATCTAGTTATGTACTACTACATAACAATACTCTTTCAGGACCAGTACTCAATAGAGAAATTGCACGAATTGTTATAAAATGAAATCTGAATTACAAAAGGCTGATAATTTAACTTAAGTATATATAATTTAATTAATTTTTAATTTTTATAATTATATTTATAATTAATTCCAATAAATTTGTTTTATAGCAATTGATGGTTGAACTTCTCCAAAAGGAGATTCACTTTACAATTATATTGTTACAACTTCAAGATATTACAAATATATTTATACTATAACCAATTATTCAGGAGAACACCAAACAGAAAATTTTATTGCAATTAAAATTTCAGATATTATTGAAAAATTGGTTTTCATTGGTTTGCAGCAATTATAACTGATAATGGCTCTAATATACATGCTGTATGATAAATTATTCATCAAACTTATTTTCATATATTAAGTATCTATTGCATTGCTTATATACTAAATTTAATTGTAGCCGATCTTGTAAAGATTAAATCAATAAAAAAAATTTTAAAACAAGTAAATACTCTAGTCTTATTTTTTTAAAAATCCTATTTAGCAAGTCAGATTTTGCAAAATATAATTGTATTAATAAATATAAAAGGAGAATCATTAGAAACATATTATGAAATATGCTAGGAGTCTATTTATAATATAATAAATTCTATTGTTTATGTTAGATCTGCTATAGAGAATGTTTGTAAATTATAATATATTGTTTTAATATACTAAAGCCAAAATTGTATATTAATTTTTTTTTTAAATTATTAAAGAAAAACCAAATATATTTTCTAATCAAGAAGTATTTAAGATTGCAAACAATATACATGATAGTTTTTATACTTCTTGCAAAAGAATCACTTCAGTCTTTAAACTAATTAAGTGAGTAATTAATTTACTTGAAAGTGATACTGCAAGTTTGGTGAATTTTTTTTAGAAATTGTTTAAATCATTGCTGCTTTTAAAAAATATCTACTAGCAATAATTTTTGTATTTTGGCTATTTTAGTATTCAATTTTCACTATTAGCAATTTGATATTTTCTCATATCTTTTAGCCTATTTTCTCTATCCTAAATATCAAAGCCATGATCTTAAAAATAGAAATTTTTATCTCTGTTGCCAGCATCACAGAAACCAAAATATCGAACAAAACAAATCTATTTTTCTGCAACAACAATACTTTTACTTACTATTGGTCCAACTCTGAAACTTCAGCTAAGGGAACAGCTATTATGATCCACAACTACCTTAGACCCCATGTGCATAGCTGTATAACACATCCAGGTGGAGCTATT